GAGGAGAGCTGTACAGAAAAGTAGAAGCCCGCCAACCCTTCTTGGCCTAACCAGTACCAGACCGGAGCGATCCAAGAGGAGGTAGGCAGGTTTCTAAGGAGGGACTGAGAAGGGGATAAGGAGTCTGATGCTAACCGCAGAGGCATGGAAGCGAGGAGGAGCAACTGGAGAGGCCTTGCTCCTTCCCTTTGTGCAGCAAGAGGATGGGAATGACATTTCCCAAAGTCACTAGAAGGCCCGTTTTTGAGTGTCGAGAGGATGTCAGCCTTGCAGGCTGGGTTGAGCAAGGCGATTCCCAGCTCCAGGAGACGTACTGATGCCAGTTCTGAGCAGCTAGCCCCTCCCACTGCACATGCTGCTGTGGCTACACTCTATTTTTAATACCTCAGCTGGATGAGAGCTAGCACATCTGCTGGAAGGGGGAATCACACCCTGGCTCCTAGTGCAAAGACGCTTGTGAACCACAAGATGCGTCTGCACTGCAGAAACAAACCCAAATCCCTGCAGCGACGAGTTTCGGAGCGGGTGGGCTTTGCAGGGCTAAGACATCCCCACCCGAGCTCTGAAACCCAGCAAGAGGGAAGGAGGGTTCTCAGAGCCCAGGCTCATTCTGGAGAAGGAATGTCTACGTTGTTATTTTTGGCTCCATAGTGCCAGCCTGAGTCAGCTGGCCCAGGTGTGCTGAGACCTGCAGCCAAGGAGGTTTGGGGCTTTCAGGTTTTTTTGCAGCAAGGACATACCCTGAGGGCTTGTCTCCACTGCCACTTTACTGCACTTTCTCACTCAGGGGTGTGAAAATGGAGAATGGAAGTTGGCTTCTCCTACTCCTTCAGCAGCTGACTCCTGAAGCTACTGAGATCATTCTACCCCCCCCGCAGACACTCCCCCACACTCTGGACAATTAGACGACTTCAAAGCTGACGGGGTCTAGTCTGGATTTGGGGTGCAGCAGCAGGGTGGGGCTGGAAGCATTCTGACATCCTTTCTCTAACACATACGCTCAGTCAGCTGTCAAGCCAAATTAGGGACCGTAAAGCTGGGATTTCCTTAGGAAATGGAGGCTTGCCTGGGGAAAGCGCTGTCTGCGTGAGACAGGCTGACGTCAGAGTGTGTTTTGTCCACCCTTCCGGGACACTCAGAGAAGCATAGAGATTTTTTTAAAGCCTTTCTACTCCCCTGGCCCCCACTTATGTTGTTCTCTCTGCTCTATCCTGACCATTCACGCCCTCAGCCAGGTGAGTCAGCGACCATTAAACATGAGACCAGAGGAATCCATATACTTCAATAGGGCCTTTTATACCTAAGGGTCCCCATGTTCTACACACCTGCCACCCCTCTTAGCGCTACTAGTGATACCGTGGTAACTCCTAGAGGCTGCACCATGAAGGACTGCTGCACAGAGCTTACACTTGAAATAGATGCATCCCAGGTAGGAAAAAGAAAGCATCATTTGTATTTTACAGATGGTGACATGAGGCATGGCAAGAGCTTTTCAAAAGCACCAACGCCCGCTGACTCTGACTTGCATCTAGCTGCCTTTTGCCAATCTTCCCCCCGAGAGATTACATGGGTCACAGAGGCAGTCAGCTATTGAAACCAGCTCTCCCAAGTCATAAAACTACACTTCTATCTGGGAGCAGAAGGCTTACAGGGTGGGGGAAGGAAGGAAGAAAAGTCTGGACAATGATGCCGGGGAAAAGTCTTTCATGAAAAGAACTGTACATTTTTGGACAGACGTACAGAGGATAGGGGATCTAGTTTTTAAGGTCTCCTCTGTGAGGATGATGGTGAGGGAAAAGACATAGGTTATCTACTGTTTTCTTAATCAGTGTCACCTGTCCTTGCTCAGAACAAGTCTACTGGTTAAGACTCTGGCTTCTGTGGCTTATAGTCGCTGTCCTGCTGGTGCTATTATTGGTACAGCTGGAAATTTGAACCCCAAAATTCTGAGTCAGCCATGCTGGGATCGGATTGCACTTGTGCCAGGGAATCTAAGTATTTCAAACCTGATGTTTTAATCCAACTAAAAGGACCATCAGAACAGGTCAAATGCACAATGCAGGATTTAGTGCTTTAAAGACCAACATCATCTACAAAAGCCTGAGTCTCATCACTTCACATTTCTCATGCAAATTGTTTCATTGGAGCAACAGAGAGAAACACAACGTTTGTGGTATGTGGAGATAATTTGGGGTGTAAAAGAGGAGGTGTCTGAAAGCTGTAAACTTTCAGGTATCATACAGATCCACCTGGAAACAAACAATTGATCCCAGTGGGAAGAGATGAAGGTGGAGTGGGTAGAGCACTGCACTGGCAGTCAAGAGACCCAATTTCACTTTACAACTCTGCCACAGATACCTTGGGTGACCCTGGGCAACTCACTTATTCTGTGCCTCAGTTCCTTGTTGACAAACCAGGCGTGATACTCCCCCACTGCATAGGAGTGTTGCTAGGATAACGACATCCAATAAAGATTATGAGAGGATCTCAGAGCCTATGGAAATGAGGGCCATCCACATATGGCCCTAAAAGGCATATTTCCAGAGGAAGATCTACCTGAATTAGCGAATAATCCACCAGGAGAAATCCAGGGATCGAATCGCAGTTGCACTTGACAACTGGGATTTTAAGAGAACCAGCTCCCCCTTATTTCTTTTCACACTGCCGTGGTGTCTTTGACAGATGCTGGTGCTGGCCCCTTTCCAAAACAGCCTGCAGGGTCCAGCAGAAGGACTCTTGGAGAGGAGCCTGCTAATGCAGTTGCAAGTGTCAATGCACATCACTCCAGGTACTAACCAGCAATGCAGTGATGCTGCAAGTGGCGTGCCAAGCAATGCGAATGGCTAAGGATTGTGACACAGCGCAGTCAGAGGGATCTGCCTTCACAAGCAAGGTCTGCATTTCTGGGGCGGGGCGGGGCTTCACCGTCTTTTCAAGCATCCCTGTTAATTCACCGGGATACAACTCTGGCTGTACTGTCCATAGTCTCCCATTCACCAGGGCAGGCTGCAGCGATTTGGAGTAGCCCAGACTTTACTGTGGGATAGAGCAGAGCGCGCCCAAGGGGAAGAAAGGCAAAGTTGGACAAAGTTATCCCATTTTACAGAAGGGGAAACAAAGGTACAGAGCATAAGGGTTGTACAAATCAGTGTCAGAAAGGGAGAGAAAGCTCTGGTATCCTACCACATTAGTTTGCTCCTTTACCCACTGTCAATGCTGCCTCCAACCCAAAGCTGGGACTTGAGTGCATAATTCTCCATCCCTTACCAATCTGAGGATGGGACGACTGCAGCTGTAAATCTTATCACGCTACCTCCAGGCCGGACATGCTCATCTCCAGCTTAGCACGGCAGCCTTTGGTTTACTGTCTCTCTCTCAGAAGGGAGGCTACAAAACGCAGCCTGTGTTATAACTGCCTGCTCCATTGGTTGGCAGTGTGAAGTCTTTGCTACTCTGGGTGTTTGGCATCCATGCCAGGATGCAGCAAATGCAATGCAACCAGCGCAGCGGCCCTAGGGTAGACATGCTGTGTTGGTGTGAATTGGAACGGGCACCAAGGCAGCAGAAGGGCGAGGTGTAGTCATGTAAACTGTCCCAATGAAGAGCAACTGGGCCAGGGTTTTGAACCTGCACAGTTATATCGATGCCAGAGGAATCATCATTAAGCAAGGCCTTAGAAGCCACAGAATGAATTCCTCTGTCTCTCACATGTGGTTTCCCACACGCAAGAGTAAGAATGCTTGCCTGTGCCGGGAATAGAGACAGGACTTTACTCTCCAGTGACCCCCAATTCAGTACCTCTCACTTTCAGGGAAATGAATATTTGATTGACATTGTTTTCGGTATTTAAATTGCTAGCTCTCACAATCTGCTACTCTCAGCATGGAATAAATTTTGTGATGTGCACCACAGTAGAAATACATGCTGCAGGCTGTGGGTGCTTTGCTAATCAGCTGGGCAGCATTTGACTCTTTCTTGTGTGGCTGTCCAGGTGCGGGGGACACTGCTCACATTCTAGTATCACCAAATGGATAGTCTCTCCCTAAGCTTGTTCACC